GTGCGGGTTGACATTATCCTGACACCATGTAAAGTTCGATCTTTGAACTTTGTTACTTATCTCGAGCACACACACCCAACATGCGACAGCATTCTATTTTGACTTCACTTCTTGGGAACATAAACAACAAGAACAAAGAAATGCAAATCACTCCAGATTATCAGAACTGGATGGAAGGTGCTAGAAGCAGTAGAAGAAGAGAGAAGGATCCAGAACCGGATGTGTACAATACGATGACAAGCTAGACCACATAGGTTGGTTGATCATGAATGCGTGTCATGTGCAGGTAAGCCGTACATGGATAAGGTGTCATGTGATGGCACAGCAAGGCACTAGATGACTGTGCATGATAATTACAAGCAACACATATAATTCATGTGTAGCACATGCAACAACGCCCAGTGTGGAAGTTGCGGCAGATCGGTTGGCCATTGGACACTGTACGGACTCCATTGAAGGCTTACTGGTTGTTACGTTGCTGACGAAAGGGACACTGGCCGCCTCCGGGATGGACGAGGCGACAGGACTCACATGTGGGCCTTGATCGGCTAGTCACGGACATTTGCCACAGACTGATGTCGATGCATAGCCAGCAATCGCATGTCATCACGTACATTGAAAATCAACATATTTTTGCGAATCGACCATTTTTTCAGGATCACTTTTCAAAGAGGACGAAGCAAAGTCGGCCAAACGAAGCCTAGAGGAAGAAAATCACCCTCTCCACTTCACCATCACGATACTGACATAGATACGAGATGGAACAACTAAAAAATCCACAAGAAAACTGTACGGCCATCATCGCTTTGGTCTGAGAATTTCTATCACGATCAAAAATGTACGAGGAGCACTCAAAAATAAGCCACAGACGTACCTTTATCGCTCTCTACTCCTTTATCAAGGCACAAAAGTCGACTCTCCACTTTCAAACCAGGAACCAGACAAACCAGTGGTCCTTTTCAGCTGCTCCAGGAGCGCAGGAAATGTTCACCAAGGGGCGCAGAGCAGCATCCATTCCAGAAAAAGAGCTAAAATACGAGTGAGACTGCATGCCTGAGTACATGAGTACATGTATGAGTACATGCAGAAAATAGGCAATTTCAGCGTTTCTGCTCCAAACAGCAACTAGCTTCGACTAGAAACAAAGATTACCACCAAAGGATCAAACAACAACCATTTTCTGCAGTTTTTTTGCAGAAGGATTCCTTGTGCTTGGCCCAGCACGCCAAAAATCACACCTTGGAGGAGTACAACAATTACAACTCTCATATGTCCTCGATTGCTGGCCATGACGCCAAAGCGCTTGCCTGGCTGAGCAGAAATGGCCGAGCGAAACTGGGTGCCGTACGACAGCCAAGCCTGCGAATAGTGTTGCCTGTTTGCAGCAACAATGGTGGCTTGGTATGAGAGCATCTCCTGCAGGCGGGACGGGTTGGCAGAACACATGACGTTCATGAAGAGAGTCCATGCTTCCAGCCATGTTGGCAAGTCGTGGACGCGTCGACGAACGGGCTGGGCAGTGCCACCTTCCACCACCTCCAAAGACTGGCCGCAACTGCTGAACTGCAGCTGAAGCTGGCGTGGGGCAGAATACGAGGTGGCAATAGTATCCGGCAGGAACTGGGTGAAATCTACAAAGTCACCCTTCAATATTTTCAGTTGTATAGTCTGAGGAACAGAGAGATTACCAGCGTTGGAAGACTCCGCCGAAGGTTGAGTTCCAGATCCAGGGGCAGTGATGTTGGCCAGCATTGGAGCGATCGCCTCCGACAAGGCAACGGCGACGGCGGAATGTACTTCCTGCCGCACAAACTGGTGAAAATCGTCATTTCTTCTCCTGTCCGGGATCTGGGGAGTCGGAAAAGCTGCTGCAACACTCTCCAGATCCTGCTCTTGCTCCTGCTCAAGCTCCTGCCGCAAGGATGGCGTGGCCGACGGGGATCGAGGTTCCCGTGCCGCCGAGCTCGACGTCTTTTGGATACTGAGCAGCAAACGGGCAAGAAGCTGGGGCGTTATTCTGCTCGAATTCAGCCCACAGCCTTCCAGCTCGGCCCGCAAGTCCAACACGTTCATACGACATGCTTCAGAGGTAGACAACATGTTTGTCGTGCAGTAAATGGCTGCGAGGAAACTACAAGGAGTCTGAAAAAATAATTCTATTCTCCTCAAACAAATTCCGGTTGCTGCTCAGCAAACATATTCCGGTTGCTACTCAGAGACACTGCAAAGGAAAGCCAAAGCCACAGTCAGCGCAGCAAGAGCTACCCAGGGCGATTTGGGCGCGCATTCGGGCGCGCATGCGCAGCAGTTGAGAGCACATGTAAAGCCTGCTCAGTCACAGCTAGCCCAAAAGCTAACCCAACATTTAACTACACATGCATGCATGCACACAACCATACATATACAAAATCACATACACACACAATCCCCCCGCCCCCCCCCCCCCCCCCCCCCCTCTGCCGGCCCGCCCCCCCCCCCAAAAAGACAAGAAACGTTGGTTGCTGTTCTTTCACCAGGTTGTTGCAAGTCACAGTGATTTTTGAATATGACAGTGTACATGCCTGGTAAAGTGGTCAGTAGAGATAGACTGGTCACTAGTCACACTGGTCAGTAGGGATAGACTGGTCACTAGTCACACTGGTCAGTAGGGATAGACTGGTCACTAGTCACACTGGTCAGTAGGGGTAGACTGGTCACTAGTCACACTGGTCAGTAGGGATAGACTGGTCACTAGCCACACTGGTCAGTAGGGGTAGACTGGTCACTAGTCACACTGGTCAGTAGGGATAGACTGGTCACTAGTCACACTGGTCAGTAGGGGTAGACTGGTCACTAGTCACACTGGTCAGTAGGGATAGACTGGTCACTAGTCACACTGGTCAGTAGGGATAGACTGGTCACTAGTCACACTGGTCAGTAGGGGTAGACTGGTCACTAGTCACACTGGTCAGTAGGGATAGACTGGTCACTAGTCACACTGGTCAGTAGGGATAGACTGGTCACTAGTCACACTGGTCAGTAGGGATAGACTGGTCACTAGTCACACTGGTCAGTAGGGGTAGACTGGTCACTAGTCACACTGGTCAGTAGGGATAGACTGGTCACTAGTCACACTGGTCAGTAGGGATAGACTGGTCACTAGTCACACTGGTCAGTAGGGGTAGACTGGTCACTAGTCACACTGGTCAGTAGGGGTAGACTGGTCAATAGTCACACTGGTCAGTAGGGATAGACTGGTCACTAGTCACACTGGTCAGTAGGGGTAGACTGGTCACTAGTCACACTGGTCAGTAGGGATAGACTGGTCACTAGTCACACTGGTCCGTAGGGATAGACTGGTCACTAGTCACACTGGTCAGTAGGGATAGACTGGTCACTAGTCACACTGGTCAGTAGGGGTAGACTGGTCACTAGTCACACTGGTCAGTAGGGGCAGACTGGTCACTAGTCACACTGGTCAGTAGGGGTAGACTGGTCACTAGTCACACTGGTCAGTAGGGATAGACTGGTCACAAGTCACACTGGTAAGTAGGGGTAGACTGGTCACTAGCCACACTGGTCAGTAGGGATAGACTGGTCACTAGTCACACTGGTCAGTAGGGATAGACTGGTCACTAGTCACACTGGTCAGTAGGGATAGACTGGTCACTAGTCACACTGGTCAGTAGGGATAGACTGGTCACTAGTCACACTGGTCAGTAGGGATAGACTGGTCACTAGTCACACTGGTCAGTAGGGGTAGACTGGTCACTAGTCACACTGGTCAGTAGGGGTAGACTGGTCACTAGTCACACTGGTCAGTAGGGATAGACTGGTCACTAGTCACACTGGTCAGTAGGGGTAGACTGGTCAATAGTCACACTGGTCAGTAGGGATAGACTGGTCACTAGTCACACTGGTCAGTAGGGGTAGACTGGTCACTAGTCACACTGGTCAGTAGGGATAGACTGGTCACTAGTCACACTGGTCCGTAGGGATAGACTGGTCACTAGTCACACTGGTCAGTAGGGATAGACTGGTCACTAGTCACACTGGTCAGTAGGGGTAGACTGGTCACTAGTCACACTGGTCAGTAGGGGCAGACTGGTCACTAGTCACACTGGTCAGTAGGGGTAGACTGGTCACTAGTCACACTGGTCAGTAGGGATAGACTGGTCACTAGTCACACTGGTCAGTAGGGGTAGACTGGTCACTAGTCACACTGGTCAGTAGGGGTAGACTGGTCACTAGTCACACTGGTCAGTAGGGGTAGACTGGTCACTAGTCACACTGGTCAGTAGGGATAGACTGGTCACTAGTCACACTGGTCAGTAGGGATAGACTGGTCACTAGTCACACTGGTCAGTAGGGATAGACTGGTCACTAGTCACACTGGTCAGTAGGGGTAGACTGGTCACTAGTCACACTGGTCAGTAGGGGTAGACTGGTCACTAGTCACACTGGTCAGTAGGGATAGACTGGTCACTAGTCACACTGGTCAGTAGGGATAGACTGGTCACTAGTCACACGGGTCAGTAGGGATAGACTGGTCACTAGTCACACTGGTCAGTAGGGATAGACTGGTCACTAGTCACACTGGTCAGTAGGGATAGACTGGTCACTAGTCACACTGGTCAGTAGGGATAGACTGGTCACTAGTCACACTGGTCAGTAGGGATAGACTGGTCACTAGTCACACTGGTCTGTAGGGGTAGACTGGTCACTAGTCACACTGGTCAGTAGGGGTAGACTGGTCACTTGTCACACTGGTCAGTAGGGATAGACTGGTCACTAGTCACACTGGTCAGTAGGGATAGACTGGTCACTAGTCACACTGGTCAGTAGGGGTAGAGTGGTCACTAGTCACACTGGTCAGTAGGGATAGACTGGTCACTAGTCACACTGGTCAGTAGGGATAGACTGGTCACTAGTCACACTGGTCAGTAGGGATAGACTGGTCACTAGTCACAATGGTCTTTAGTTATAGGTTTTACTGGAGACCTTGAAAAAAATGTACTCACCTTGTTGAATGGTGGTAACAGCTGCTGAGACACGTGAAAGCTTATCACTAGTGTCTTGCTGGTGCTCCAGTAGTTGTCCAATGCTTGTGGAGGTTGTAGCACTTTGCTCCTGCAGTTGGTGGACAGTTGTGTTGGTCTGGTTTTGCATTTCCACTATGCGTTCACATGCTGCAGTTGTATCTTGTTCACCTATATAACACACATATATATATACAAACACACACACACACACACACACACACACACATACAAACACAATCACCTAAGAAGAAGGAAATGTTTTACCCGTGACCCCTTCGTTGTTTGAAGTTATTGGTGTGAGTAATGGCTACCGAGGGTAGCAATGGTTGGCTTTAGAGCGCATGGAGTAGGAGATTTAGTTTCTTGTATTATTCAACAGGCGAAAGGTACCGTTCAACAGTTTATTGATATTTTACTGGAGACTTGAAAAAATGGACTCACCTTGTTGAATGGTGGTAACAGCTGCTGAGACACATGAAAGCTTATCACTAGTGTCTTGCTGGTGCTGTTGCAGTTGACCAATATTGGTGGTACTTGTAGCACTTTGCTCCAGTAGTTGTCCAATGCTTGTGGAGGTTGTAGCACTTTGCTCCTGTAGTTGACGGACAGTTGTGTTGGTCTGGTTTTGCATTTCCACTATGCGTTCACATGCTGCAGTTGTATCTTGTTCACCTATATACATGATAAGATAGGTACACATAAACACTCTCTCACATGCACACACATGTGTATGCACCCATGTACGGATGCACAAGTACGCACACACACACACATGTATATACAAACACACCTTTGACCTTTGACCTTTGACGCCCATCGCCGGAGGCGATGATAGCAATGCTACGGCAGAAGCCATAGCAACTTGTGCTGGGATTGCACCATTCAACAGCTTGCAAGGCTGAAGAATTGACCGTCACTATTCAGCCTGGTCTACACCATACAGCTATTTTGAAGTGACTTTTTCTGGCCAGTGAATCCCTATTTTTGGTCTTTTCATTTTTTCTTTCTTTTTTTCCCGCACACACATCACACCACATACTCCGGCATGCACTGGCTGTTGGTAACCACCCAGGAGAATGAAAGAAAAGTCAGGAAGAGTCTGAGAAAGAGAAGAAAGACGTGTGTGACCATAATCATCGGGGATCGAACCCGCAACCTATCGATTGGAAATCGCTGCACATACCACTGCACCATATGGGACATACAAACACACACGCACACACACACACACACACATACACACACACACAAACACACACACACACAGCAGACAAACACCTTCCCACAAAACACACACACATGCACACATGTGCACGCACACATGCACACATGTGCACGCACACATGCACACATGTGCACCCACACATGCACACATGTGCACACACACATGCACACATGTGCACGCACACATGCACACATGTGCACCCACACATGCACACATGTGCACGCACACATGCACACATGTGCACGCACGCACGCACACACACACACACGCATACAAAGGCAGAGAAAACAGAGACAACCGGCTATATCATTGTTGTAACGCTTTGTTTGATGCGCATAGAAAGACTAAGGCAATCTCAGACAACTGATGAACATTTTGACATTTTTTTCATCACCAGACAACTGATGACCTCCACATCACCAGACAACTGATAACCTCCACATCACCAGACAATTGATAACCTCTTGATCGCCTGACAGCTGATAACCTCTAGATCACCTGACAGCTGATAACCTCCACATCACCTGGCTGCAAACATCACAGACAACTGATAACCTCTACATCACCTGGCTGCAAACATATTTCCAGGCAACTAGTTTAGTCTAACATGAAAGTTAGTGAGACATGATGCGGATGGTGTCAATTTACATGTGAGTTGAAAAGAAGGAGAGGTGAAAGTCAAGTCTCAGCAATGGCGGCCAGGTGACTAAAGTCCACTTTGGTTATAACAACACTTGGCGGGGCATCAGAAAAGTGTCCTTATTCGCGAAGTGTCCTGATACCCGAAGTACAGTTACTCAATCTGCGCACATATTTTTTTAATACAGTTAGATGGGACTTTGCTCTGGGCATGGAAATTCTGTCGCTATTCGCGAATTGTCGTGCTCGAGAGTTTTCACTTATTCTGATGTCCATATTTTGACATTTTTTGTTTTTGTTTAGAAGCGTGGATGCATCAGTGCGGATCCATCTTATCCTTTTCAGCTAAGTACAGACCGCACCTTTGAATTCTTTATTCTCACGATGGCACCATCGCCAATAAGAGATAAGTTTATGAGAAGGTGAGATGCTGTGAGTGGGGCTGTGGGTTATGCCGTTGGAAAGTAATGTATGCCACTTTGAATTTTGCAAGTATGGGAGAGGGCGTGCACTGCAGGAGCAGGCGGAGTTAATCAGCAGTGAGCATATTTCTTGTTTGAAAGCAGGGATGGAGGGAACATCACGAATGCTAGCAGGGATGGAGGGAACATCACGAATGCTAGCAGGGATGGAGGGAACATCACGAATGCTAGCAGGGATGGAGGGAACATCACGAATGCTAGCAGGGATGGAGGGAACATCACGAATGCTAGCAGGGATGGAGGGAACATCACGAATGCTAGCAGGGATGGAGGGAACATCACGAATGCTAGCAGGGAGGGCATCGTACCGTTGTGACGCGCATATAAGCGCATGTGCCTATATGTGCCGGGCATAAGCGCGCCCTCACAAATAAGCGCATGGGCTTCTAAGTGAACCTAGATGCAGTCCACCCCGTGACATACACACACCTCAAAAACACCATGTTCACATGGTTAAATGTGCATATGTGCATAATTATGCATGGTACCGGTACACTTGCAACTCAAGCGCATGCGCCTATGTGTGAGACAAAACGACCCGCAAAAAAAAGCAAATAACGCAAAAAAAACTCACTGATAAGCTCATGTGACTTTACGTGCGCCACTACAATAGTATTATAGGGACTTGTACAGTGGGGAGTCTGTCACTACAATAGTATTATAGGGACTTGTACAGTGGGGAGTCTGTCACTACAATAGTATTATAGGGACTTGTACAGTGGGGAGTCTGTCACTACAATAGTATTATAGGGACTTGTACAGTGGGGAGTCTGTCACTACAATAGTATTATAGGGACTTGTACAGTGTGGAGTCTGTCACTACAATAGTATTATAGGGACTTGTACAGTGTGGAGTCTGTCACTACAATAGTATTATAGGGACTTGTACAGTGTGGAGTCTGTCACTACAATAGTATTATAGGGACTTGTACAGTGGGGAGTCTGTCACTACAATAGTATTATAGGGACTTGTACAGTGGGGAGTCTGTCACTACAATAGTATTATAGGGACTTGTACAGTGGGGAGTCTGCACAACAGTTGGTTCTGGTGGGTGGGAGGCGCCAAGTGCTGGTGAGTGGAAGGCTATACTGGAGTGTAACTTGAGCGGGGACCTGTTTGTGATGTTGCTGTAGGTCTTTGCTCTGTCGACGATAGATCACCCAACGGGCAATTTTTGACTTCTTTACATGCGATGTGACAAACCTAAAAGCAGATCATTGTAGAGAGAGAAGAAACCCTGGTGCCAGAATTTCCCATTTTTAGATAGGGTTGTGTGGGCAGGCATGTATTTACGGCCATTTCCCCACTTGTGTTTCAACCACCATTCCCTGCTTTATGATGACACTACATCGGAGCGTTTACATCATTTCAGCAGAAATGTTGACAGCAAATGATTTACCTCTCGCCATTGTGTCGCTCAGCTGTGCCACTTGTTCATAGGCAGTCCGGGCTTCCAGTTGTATTTCATCCATCTTGTCGTTGGTTGTGCGAGCTTCAGCAGAGACCTCCTGCTGGAGATTATCCAACCTGGTGCCTAGTTGCTGATGAGATGTGGAGAGATCCCGTACGGCAGTTGACACACTCCTCACAGTGTCGAGTATAGTGGTAACGAGGCCTGCAGAAGCACCCATAGATTCTTCCAGTGGAGATGCAGTCTGCGTAAATCGGGTAAAAGACAAACATGAAACCACACAACAGAGCAAGCAATGAAGATTGTCTGCAGGGAATAATGTATAAAAAAAGCGGCGTGGAGAAGATAGCTTAACCCTCTGATACAAGACCATACAAAATCATCTGTTTTTGGTTGATGTAGTTGCTTGCACTGAAATGCTCACAACTTCTACCGTTCTTGACGAAAGTTCACAATCAAAATACCAGGAAAGAAGAAGAGCAGCGCAGCTCTCCAATGCAACAATTGCCAATAGGCTACAATGGAGCGTTGCACAATTGGAGCATTCTGCGATGAATGAGTGTGAAATGGCTGGCATCGAGGGAATTTGCTGGTATATTCAGCTCGGTGGACTGTTCGAGGTGCTGCGGTATTTGATATGTGACAAGTGTGGTGTTGAGATTGGGCTCATTGTTCTCTGGGCAGAGTGAAGGGTCTTTCTATACAGGCCAAGGTTATGGAAATCTGATAACCAGAATCAAAAATATGGCCAGTGTGTAAAGGTTAACATATAGCCATTCATAATATTGCAAGTCCAGTTCAGGAAATCATCGTGAAAGCCGATAAAACCCAAACCCTGTAGTAAGTAGCAAAGTAGCAATACAGCAAGCTGATGAAAGACAATAGCAACAAAACTCTAAGATCACGCCTGAGCAAGCATACCATGAAGTCAATAGCGAGGCAAAGAAGATCACAGAGGGTCTAAATCTTGCCATGTATGTACTGGCTAAGTCAGAAGCATTAAGTAATAGTGCTCAAAGACACTAAGGACAACTTCGCTAGAGCGCTGCCCTACAGACTCATTAAGCCGGCCAAGTCCGAAGTGGGTGTGTCCGTTCCTGATGGTTCAGGTAGAATCACCCATTCTGGACGTGCTGTTTACACACCCATCAGATATGCTGAACTCTATTATTTCTTGAGATTGTTTCCCAGGATACTTGCATAATGTCTCTCAAACTTTTTCTCTTCACATGGCACAGTCTTGACAGATTCTATTAGCCATTTCGCGCCACTCTTTTGTCTTTAGCTTTTTTCCTGCTTTGCTATCTCTCTCTCTCTCTCTCTCTCTCTCTCCTTTTTGCTGCGCGCCTTAAAAGGGGAGATGTAGTAATATTCTGACTGTTATGCGTAAACCACTGTACACTTATGACCGTATGCGCTGCATGCCGTATGTACGTCATGCAGGCTATCACCCGTAGGCCAGAACGTTTGGTGGGCTTCTCTCAAGGGCTCGGGAATTCTTTGTGTTTCACTGACCTGCTGGTTGTGCATGTTCTTACTCCCCATTAGTTTACTCTTCTATATTATCTCATCGTCCAAATTATATAGAGAATAGTACGACATGGTACTGGAGAGAATTATGGCTGCTATGCGTGGCCAAACAGAAGTAAACCTATGGAGACACACCATGTCCTGTATGTCCTGTATGTCCTGTGTGATTCAGTGGCCTAATTAAGGAGATACCAGACAAGCAGCACAGCACACGTTACTATGCTTTGATGTGGTAGAATTTCACCCTTGATTGGTTAGCGAATCCTTTGTTCTCTGCTCTATCGTTTGCACAGCAGTTCACTGCAATCAAGCAGCAAGATATGGACATCATTCACGGCCGAAAATTGCTCCTTTTTATGATAGCGGTCATCCCTGGATATAAGACAAGGACAATAATTATATGTTCGATGGAACGATAGGCGGCTATGATGGTGACAAGACCGGTAAGGTTGTGGGCACTTTTCAGCTCAACTAGCTCTCAAACAACGTGGATATAGATCTTCAAGCACTTTGACCTGGGAATGACTATCGAACCAAACTTTAATACAGTGGTGGATTTCTTGGATATCACCATGAACCTGGACATTTCAACCTCTCCGAAAGCCAAATGACAACCCCTCTACGTTAGCAAACAGATCAACCATCCGCCCGGGAACACCAATAAAATACCTGCTGCTGTCAACAAGCATATATCCCCAATATTGACCAGTGAGTCATTGAGGCATTCAACCCCGTAACACCATGTACCTATAGCTCACTGTAGTCTAGTGGATTTACAGATATCTTGGGCTATCAGTCCGACGCACAAGAGCAGCGGAGCAGGAAGAGCCGTAGCCGGAGGGTTATATGGTTCAACCGAGGCTCTGCACTCCTTATTTGGCATTGAAAAAGACATATTGGAAAGGCTTCCTGTCTGAAGCCTTTCCATACTGGTACTCGATGTTCCAGTTTTGTGACACGAGAATGGCACGAGAATTAGTGTACCGCTGAGTGTACCGCTATACACGTGGTCGACACGTAGTCGACACGTTGTTGATACTTTTTTGACACGTGACCCCGTCAACGGTCTGCTTTGTGCCAATGACACTCGGTAACCGCCGGTGTCGCGTACGACAAAGACGACTATCCCGTACGTAGTTGAGAACTGCATGACGTGGACCTGACGGCAAGGATAACTGCGAGGAGGCCCCTTTCGGTACCCCTGACGGGAAGGAGAACTGCAGAAGTCGACGAAGTCGAACGAGGAGGCCCCTTTCCGTACCCCGTACTGCAAAGTGCCATTGATGGATGCCTTTTGCACCTGGAACGACCCCTTAAACGCTGTCGCGGCGACTATCCCGTACGCGAAATAGTTGAGAACTGCTGACGTAGACCTTTTGCACCTGGAACGGCCCCGTAAACGCTGTCGTGTCGGCGGGGTGAATGTGCAGGGTGAAAAGAATTGCTGAAAAGACGTCCGCTCTAGGCCTTTGGAGACATCGTGGGAACTCCTTCCGGTACTCTACAAACTGCTGACGTGGCCGTGGACATGTACATGGAGCCATGGTGGGACTTCATGTACATGGATACATGGTGGGCATTCCTTCCGGCACCCCCGTACCGCAAAGCCAACGGTGGGGAAGGGGAAGTGCAGACGTGCAGGAAGACGAACGAGGAGGAACCAGGACGAGCGAGCAATGGCAAGAGTAGCTGGACCGTAAGTAATAGCTGAATTGTGCATGACAACTTGACATCCATGCGGCACTCGCCACTTGCCACTGCATAATATTTCTTGTCCACTAACAATGTCTCTCCTCTGCCCCCTGTGTGTCCACGGCCCTGTTGCTGAATTGGCCCGATGAATCGAATGTCTTCCGAAACTGGAACGGCCCAGTAAACGCTGTCGCGTCGGCGACTGAATGCGCAGGAGGGAAAATATTGCTGCGAAGACGTCTCCTCTAGACCACGGTAAGGCAACCCATTGATATGTTGTCAGTTACCTTCTACTAACACGTTATCAGGTGGAGAGTGTCTTGTACTCATGTTATCAGGTCGAGAGCGTATTATAGTCACCTCTCTCTCTATTCCTGTACTTAATTACGTTTAAGGTGTACGTATAATTTCTCAAAAAAATGTAATGGTCTACAGTCGTGTCGGAAGGGTACGGTGGGACTGTAGACCTGTTACCTTCTAACACGTCATCACTATATCAGGTCGAGAGCGTATTGTAGTCACTCTCTCTATTCCTGTACTTCATTACGTTTCAGGTGTACGTATAACTTTTCCAGGAAATTTAATGGTTCACGACTTCAGATAGAGAGCGTATTGCACCCACTGTCTAGTCTCTGTAGTGCATTGAGATTTTGTTGATCGCACATGAAAATGGATACACAGACAAAGCAGGCCAAGTACATGGCGAGATGTCGCCAGAAGAACGTCTTCAGATAGAGAGCGTTTTGCACCCACTGTCTAGTCGATTTTGTGGATCACACATGAAATAGATACACAGACAAAGCAGGCCAAGTACATGAGAGAGTGGACGATGTGCGGATCGACACGGCCTGCGGGTACTTCATTAAAGTTACCCGTGACATAACTAGGATAAAAGTTAATCACTGCAAAGACATTGCCAAGTATGTGAGCACTTTGGACTTGACAGAAGAGTGCATGGGCGACGTTGACAAAACATACTGCGGTGACTGTCACCATCATGACAGCAGGGCACATCGCACGCAGCATCGCAGATCGTGTCGAATTGCGCATCATAATATTGCAGAATTGCTCCTGTGCATGCAAGTGGATTTCATTGCACTTCTCAGTTTGAGAAATGCTCGATTATGACAATTCTGCGTGTGAGTGCACTAGCCCTGAACATACATGTAGGTGACCCGTTTGTGGTGTCTCATAGCTAGCCCTTTCCCAAAGATGCTGGCCACTTTTTTCGGAACTTTTCGTTGTTTAGGAAGAAATCGCAACTTTCGCAACTTTCTTCATTTTCCCGGGAACTATTTTGCAACTTCTCCGCAACCTCACCCCCACCGTTAGGCGCTGCATCTGCCGCTAGGATTTACCGGGTGTTAGCGGCCGTCGTGAGTTCCCTTCGGGAACGGATACGATAATTTACTTTTACTTTCTCCGCAACCTTGGCGCAATTGGCCCATGGCATGGGGTCAAAAGGTCAAGTCACCGACTACATGTTGCATTGTTGGACAAATACATACTCGTGCTCGCTCATTTCTCGCCTGCCTTCAGGCTCATTTCTGAGAAACAGTAGATCAACGGTAGTTATGATAATTATGTGCATTCCCTTTTCCGTGCACTGTACTGATGTACATGTACATGTTGGATAAATGCAACAGGCAGGCTACTGGCACTGTGTAAAGTGCTGGTTCACAGCAGGAAGGGGTGTACGAGTTTGCTGTCGCAGCATCGCTGCATTTCTGCTATTTCTGCTCCCTGTTTTGTAGGTTTTGCACAAGAACTCTCCTATTTTGAGTTGCGATATTGGCAACTTTTGAGCTTTTTCTGAAAATATGGATGCGATTTCAGCAACTAGCACTTGTTTTGGCACGGTTGCGAAAAGCATAAGTTGCGAAAAACTATGGCATCTTTGGGAAAGGGCTACTCATAGCCTACCTCACGGCCTTCTGCTTTCTTTCTTCATCACTTGTATCTTGCAGGTATATCATCCCGTGACGACCACATTGAAGTCTGAATTTGAAGTGTGAAGATGCT